AAAAAAAAAAAAAAAAAAAACACTAAGCAAACACCAAGCCCCTGGGCCCTGGAATCTGGAAGCAACTATTTTGGCTTTAATTATTTAAAAATATATATTTAAATTTCTTTCTTTTTCCTGAGGAGACTGGTGAGGCTCCGCCTCCCTTGCCTCTAGTGACTGCACGTCCCTGGCAGGAACTCATCTCCTATCTTTGAAAGGCATATAAGACTCAGTCTTATGTTGTTGTTGTTGTTGTTGTTGTTGTTATTATTATTATACAATTGTATCACAGCGGCCAGTTGTTTCGCCGGATTTGGCATTGGTTACTAGTCAGGCCCCACCCAGAGGCCTAGGACGTCATAACATATTTTCGTAATATGCGTGCAGATCCAAGCAGTGTGGCTTTTTGCATTTGACTGATGGTGATTTTGTCAATTTTAAACTGTTTTAAATGTAATTCCATTGCTTTTGGAATAGCACCCAGTGTGCCAATTACCACTGGAATTACCACTGCTGGTTTGTGCCATAGTCGTTGAATAACAACAACAACAACAACAACAACAACAATAATGCAACAACAGAATTGTATCACAGTGGCCACCTGTTTCGCCGGATTTGGCATTGATTACTAGTCGGGCTGTTTCTTGTGAGCTTCTCTAAATAGTTTGCCCCTGGCTAGGAGTAAAACCTAACAGACATCTATTATTCATGAATGTCCAGTAAATTAGCAATTACACTTCCATGTTATTTATCATCATTGGTATATGGACATTATTATATAATCTAAATTTACATAATTGGTGTGATCTGATGTGGTTTGCATAATTATATCCTTACACAAATTTTAGCAATTGCTATATTTCAAAAACAATCCCCTATACCCATGATGGCAAACCTATGACATACATGCCAGAGGTGGCATGCAGAGCCCTCTCTGCTGGCATGCACACCGTTGCCCCAGGTCAGATCTCCATGGCATTTCTTTCTTTCCTGAGCTTCTGTTTCCCTGCAAACAATGAAACAGAAGCTCACGAAAGAAAAAGATGTTACCTCTTCCTGCACTGCCGGTGTTGGGATCCTGCCTCCCATCAGCCAGCTGGTCTTTGGGTCTCTGCTGCACATGTCCACGCATATACAAACTCATGGCTGTGCATGTGCACATGTTCACATGCATCTTTGTTTGGGCATGTGCACACATGCGCAGTTTGGGCACTTGCTGTCTAAAAGGTGCACCATCACTGAAGTAGGGTCTACTTATTTGAAAGGTTCTGTTGACCATTAATACAGATATATAGTAAATGTGAATACACATGCCACAACAAAAATGGCACACAAAGACTTGCTTTTTATTCTTATATGAGGAATATCTTGTTTTGAAGATGGTGCTAAATGGTATATCAAGATGTGTTAATTCATTAACAGTTACTTACAATTCCTGTACAAACCTAACTAACTTACTCTATTAAATAGATACTTCCCATTCCATGTTTTCTGCTTCTATAGTTGGGCAAGCTTTAAAAACAAAACAGGTTTCGCTAGAAAATTATTAAGGATTATCAACTTCCTAGTCTTCTAGTCATATGAATTCACACACTGTTTCAATATACATTAGATTTACTGAAAAGGGTATACATTTAGAATGTAATGATACATTTTTTACTCAGTATCAAAAAATTGAAAAATACTACATTTCTCTCTATTCAAAGTGAAATCAGACCATACCAAAAGTTCTGGAGAAGAAACAAGATTTTATAAACCACCCAACTGTAGTGAGAGTCTTACATATTTTTAGGTTTTTGATGCTTCATTTTCAAGCCACCCAGAAATACATTTCATCCAACAAAAAATCTGATGGCCTTTAACCACAAATTTAAAATGGCACACATTTAATTTTATTTTGCTATAAACTAACTCCACTTACAGCAATCCATGAAAGGTTGCTTGCCTCACATTTTTGCAGGAGTTTGTTTTTTTAAACTATGCCCAATTTGGTGAGCTGAAGACATAAAAGAGCTAACAACAACATAGGACCCTAGATAAGAGACACACATGTACTCATACATCCTATTATTCACTACTCACTCTTCTCTAATCTTCTCCACTGCTACTACTCCTATTACAGTTGCTACTACTCCTTGTGAGTACTGCTAGGAAAAAAAATGCCTATTTGGCTGCTTGCTTCCTTGCTTACCCACATCATCTTCTCTCTCCTTTGCTCAAACCGAGTTTTTTTACAGCTCAACTTTTGTAATCAAGTTTGCTATGCTGATGCTGGGAAGAGCACTTAAAGAGGAGATAAGGCAGCACAGGTGCAGGCAATTTTATGGAGAGCCTGCTCTCTCCCAGGCATAAACTTCCATAATGGGCTAAACTAGTATTTATCACTTGTTTTTTTGTGGCAGTAATTTTCCTAATGCTCTCCATATGAGGGCAGCTGGTTCTAAGATTAACATTCAATAAGTAAGTCACAGAAATTCGATTTGAAATGTAGTTTAAAAAACAACAACACCTAAACTGAGGTGGAAGGCAACTGAGGCTAGAAATCAAATCCCTGCAAAATATACAGAATATATTCTATCTATGTATATAAAAGAGCTCTTACCTTTTTCATTTCTTCAACATATGCAATCATAGCATCTTCTTTGGGCATTGTGCCCAACGAACTCCATGCATCCCTACAATGAATGTCACAGGAAGAACATTTTCAAAACACTAGGCTGCTTTATTATATAATAGTAACTTCAATAATTAATACAGGACTGTGGACTTTATGTGTGCTTATTGTCTACGAAACTGCATAGATTATTTTTCCAGCACAGAATCACATTATTAGTTCACTTTTTTAAAAAAGCAAGAAAGTGGTCAAATTCTATTTCAAATAGTACACATGTTCATATTTTTGGAATAAAGTTTTTATCCCCAAAAAAATAACAATAATAGGCAGAAGGAAAAATATTTTTATGATCTCCAGAGTTTTCAGGATCATATTTTAGTTTAGTTTACTTTATTGTCATTGCACCTTGTACAACAAAATTAAATGCCATCTTCAATGTACATCCTAAGAAAACTATGAAAATAAAACAAAAACTTGCATCCTTCACATTCTATAAAATTAAATCGAAAACCCCTGATACTGTATTAATATTACACCATACAGTAGAATTCAATATAGTTACTGCTCTGGGATAGAAGCTGTTTTTCTGCCTTTTTTCCTTATTTTAAAATATCTTTTCAGCATCGTCTGGACATAACAAGGACAGGATTTGGACAAAGGATGTGCTGTAATCCCAAGACAAATACTTTCCATACCAGGGAGGAGAATAGAAAGGCACCACTTTAAATCATTAAAAACATCTTTGTTGTATACTATTTACCATTTGTATCTACCAATAGGATCCCAAAATCCTGGTCTTGGAATATTACAAGGTCCTTGAGTTGCTTGCTTATAAAAACTATAGAATTTTAGCATCATTTCATTTGTTGGCTGGAAAGAACCTATGGGAAAAGATTTTTAGTGTGAGAAATAGAACACAGTGACATGATTGCTTTAACAAAATAATTCTAGGTTATTGTAAAGTCAAAGTAAAGAGAGTAGCCAATAATTTAACAATGGCTTTACTCCCACAAGTTTTAGCTCCAAGATCAGTCATCTTGCCTTTTTGTTTTGACTTTAAACTCTTGAGATCTAATGATGAAACTACCTTTGCACAAAAAAGAACAAATCAATATGAATATTAAAGCAACGGTATCAACACTATTTTATGTTTCTTTAGAAAAAAAGTAGAATGTCCAGACAAACATAAAAAAGGATGATTGCTGCTATGTCTCATATTAGATCTGAAGTGGAATCCATAGGGTAAAAGCCAGAATTCTAGTGATAAACAAAACACCACAGAAATTCAAAGCACATTGCAGTAAAATATGACAATTATTCTACTAATGATTAATCAGAATGTTCTTATCCCTAGTAAAGGTAAAGGTTCCCCTTGCACATTCCTGGCGGTTTTCATCTCCGTTTCAAAGCTGAAGAGCCAGTCCGAAGACGTCTCCATGGTCATGTGGCTTGTATGACTAAATGCCAAAGGTGCACAGAACGCTGTTTCCTTTCCATCAAAGATGGTCCATATTTTTCTACTTGCATTTTTACATGCTTTTGAACTGCTAGGTTGGCAGAAGCTGGGACAAGTAACGGGAGCTCACTCCGTTAAGCGGCGCTAGGGATTCGAATCACCAAACTGCCAACCTTTCTGATCGACAAGTTCAGCCACTGAGCCACCACATCCCTCTCTTATCCCTATGATTTAACTAATAATTTTGAATCCACAACTGTCTTTACTCTTTAGGCAGTTTAGCTCTTTTAGATCTATCTAGGAGATCTTTGACTATTTGCAAAATAATGGCAGAATGGGCCAGTAAAAGAGATTTTAAAAATCTGAAGACTTTATTCAAACTACTCCCTAATCTATTCTTTTTATTTTATTAAGCTATTTCTCAATATCTTAGAAATTGAGTTTATCACATCCATCTTGCTTATGGCAGATGTACCTTATGTTGATACAGTACTTCCCATTTTACATTTATAGTTCCAAGAATTATTTGTGTCATCAATTTTACATATATTCAGGTAGTCCTCGACTTACAATAGTTCGTTTTGTAACCATTCAAAGTTACAACGGCACCAGAAAAATTGACTTATGACAATTTTTCACACTTACAAACATTGTAGCATCCCCACGGTTACATGATCAAAATTCAGATGCTTGACAAGTTCTTCATATTTATGACGTTTGCAGTGTCCGGGGGTCATGTGATCAGCTTTTGCAACCTCCTGACAAGCAAAGTCAATGGGGACTCTTCACTTAAGAACCATATTACTAACTTAACAAATGCAATGATTCACATAATAACTGTGGCAAGAAAAGTCGTAAAATGGGGCAAATCCATTTAACAAATGTTTCACTTAGCAGCATAAATTTTGGGGTCAATTGTGGTTGTAAGTCAAGGACTACCTGTATTGAAAAAGGAGCCTTTGATTCCAAAATATGGCTTTACTTAACAAGAAAACCAACCAATCAATATTACTAATGAAGGAATAAATAAAGTTTTTTCTAAATAAATAGAGAAATTAAAGTGGAGGCGTTATTTTCACAGCTAAAATCATGTTTAGACCATTGCACAGGAAATCATTTTGCCACTGTCAAGTGGTTAATTAATAAACAAAGATGAAGGAATGGAATGATTTATTGATTTATTATTTCTTAAAATACTTTTTAAAACGTCTACAAATTATGTTTAGTGAATTCCTGTGCTGTTCCAGCAGTTTGAAAAAAAGGGTTGCGTAAAAATGCAAGAAATTTGAATACATATTGTTACACTCATAAGCCATCGCCTACACAAATGAAAAGGGATAATGTATTCCTAACCCTAGTGTGGACATATGGATGCTAGCCAAACAAGAATTAGTTGAAATGTAAATCATCTGTTTAATTGTCAAAGAAGTTGTCAAAATTAAGGCAATTTTAGATTCTGAAAAGCTGTTCTCATTCAGGGTTAACCATTTTACATTCTACGGACATTCCGAACACTCTGTGGCTTCATCGCTGGCCACATTCTCTTCCCCACTGAACTTTTTTCTGAATTTCTAATTTTTGCTTAAGGGAAGAATTTTTAAAGCTTAGCTTGTAACTTTAAGGCAATTGGATAAAAAACATTTTTCAGTATAGGGATCTCACACTTACAGGGACTCATGTAGGGGAAGGATTTAGGAGTTGAAACATTTATTCTCTGCCTCCTCACTTAACAAATCTATTCGGATCAGATGAAAAATGAAACCACCCTGGAATATATATGGAGTTTCCCCAACGAGCTTGCTAAGAAGAAGCATTGAACCATACGTAGGAACAGGAAAAGTCTAGTTGCCAAGATTTAACTTCCTGATATTTTTTGAGTACAGATTTAAGATTATTATTTTATGGTCAATACACATGCCTTTACTTTCAGCATATCATTGTATATTTGAAGTTTTACTGACTTTAAAATGAATTGTATAGAATTATATTCCAAGAACAATCACTTTCAGCATAAATTCTATCTGAACATAGAATTTGCAGGATTTAGATTCAAGTCCATTCTCAGCCTGGAAACACACTTTGTAGTAATTATACAAATGTGGTGGCAACCTAATTCTAGATCTGTGATGACAAATCTATGGCACGCATGCCTGAAGTGGCACATGGAGCCCTATCGCTTCGCAGGTACATCGTTGCTCATTCCCCTTTCGGGTTTCTGGTGTGCATGTGTGCATGTCAGCCAACTGTCCTTTGTGCTGCAGCAATGCCGGAAACTGGAAGAGCTGGTCTTCCGTTTTCCGGCATGAGCCTGCATGCCAGCTAGTAACCAGAAGACTAGGTGGCCAGTGTGCATTTGCGAGCCGGAAACCAGAAATTCATTTTCCGGTGTGTGCATGCCCCTTGGACAGCTCCTCTTCTGAGTTGCGACCCAGATGAGCGTGCCTGCATGCGCACATGCTACCTTTTTGGCTCTAGTGCACTGCTCTAGTTTGTCGCCAATGGAAAATTTTCCAGCATTGTGGGAAAACCCTTACCATGAATGTAATTCTAATTGTTAATGCCATTCAATGAATGTATGGGAATTTGTATAGAATATGCAGAATCATAAGTAAACCGCCCTAACTGGATTAACTTAACACACTAAGCTAAAACATGGCTGACTGGTTTGTGGGCCAGAGCGTTGTGTCATTCCAGATTGGAAGAGAGATGTTTGATGTTTTTTCTTTCTATCTAGAGTGAGCAGCCTATTTTGGACACTCCAGATCTAACATAAAACTTCCTCAAGTTGTCCTTGACCACTTTGGCAATCCCACTTAAGTAGTCTGGTGTAGCCTTTCACTTCCCAGTCACAATGCCCTTTGAAGGGAGCCACAGTGGTATATTAACCATTAAGCAGATTAAGCACGTGCTTAGGGCACCAGCCCCAAAGAGGGCACCACAAAGTTGAGAAAGAAAAAAAAAACCACCAATAAATATTTGTACTGTATGTACAAAGGAGGGGCACCAAGATTTGTCAGTGTTTAGGGAGCCAGGGAGCCTTAATCCGCCAATGGAGTTCTGACCAGGTCCAGCTCTGCTTAACTTTGATACTACACAAGGCTGACTAATTATTGGCATCATTTATTTCGAAAAGTCGGGGGGGGGGGGGGGGGGAATCGGACTCATCCACATCTTACAATCCCACCCCCACCCCCACCCCTCTCTTCCTCCAGGTCTACCACCTCCATCCTTTTCCTTTCTACTTACCATTTTTGGGCAGGCTCTGGATCACTTTCACCGCCGCTTCGAAGCGAGTCTCATGCACCGAGCTGTCTCCGCCGTTCTCCGTCTCTGCCATGGCCGAAGTCCTGGTTCAGGCGAGCCGAATCGCGCCACAGCCACCACCGCTTCCCTTCTCGGCTGAGGGCCCTGCGGCCGGCAAAGAGCAAGGGAGGGCGAAGGCCGCGGGGAAAACGGAGAAGAGCAGTCCGCTTAAGACAAGTCGGCTTCTCACGTCCTTTGCCCAGCACCGCCCTCGGTTCTCCGTTTGGCCTTTCTTCGGCAATATCTGCATCCCCCAGTTTCCAGACCACCCCTCTCCAAGACCCATGCTTCTGGGGGTCTACACAGTTGGTGGTAGTCGGAAAGCAACGGAGCGCAAACTTCTACCCTCTTATAAGCAGAAGACAATCTCGTCCTATTCCTGCACCATCCTGTATACTTAACTTCGGCAACTATCCCTACTCCTGCTGGCTAGAAGACAGAAGAATTTAATGGTGAGACAAGACAAGTTGGTCCAGGGCAGGCTAAGGAGCGACAGCTATTGAGTTCAATAGGATTTATTTCCCATACTTGATCCAGATTTCTCACCCAACAGCACAAATTTCGTCTTCTGATTCTTCCATTTATTAGTGTTGCACGGAGGCCACCTTCGCTCCTTGTGCAGGGTCCCTATCCGTATCCTTTCACCAGAAAAGAGGCACGGGGCAAGGAATTACTGTGCTATCTCATTTCTTATGACAAGAGGTGAGGATGGAATTGTTCTAGCCCAGCGGGGTTTTTTTTTGGGGGGGGGGGGATGTTACTTACCTTCTCTTTCTTCTATCTCTACTTGTATCTTTGCATATTAAACAAATCTCTCCTCACACTCCGAAACCATTCAATCCAATCGTATTCAGATTTGTTTAGAAGTTCCACTGTGGTCTAGGGGGGTTTTCTCTCTGAAATTGTAGATAGGGGACTGCAGTTGTGCAGGTTATACAGACGACCCATAGGCAATATAGATTTTTTTTTTTAAATGAAGCTTTCCGACGTGTAAACAACACGCGCGTATAGCTTCACAATCGGTACCCTTCTGATTCGGGACTTGTAACTTAAACTCAATTCCCAAACGCACAGGAAAGAAAGTTATCTAGGCAAGTTTAATTCAATCTTTGGCTAGTTACCACAGTATAAAAGCAGCAATAAAAGTTGATTATAGGAGAAATACATACAGACATTGAGTGAGCTTCAATAAAAAAAAAAATGTTTCTTATTTTTTTTCCCCAGCCCATCAACATTCTCCAAATTTCGGTACGTTCTACTTTTCCTGCCCACACTCCCGACCGAAACCCAAAACTTCAACGTAACCCTTATTCCCCACTCCTCCCCATCATCAAGAATGTCATTTCTCATAATTAATATTAACAACCTCGCGATGCAAACCTAGCCAATGGATTTCCCACGGCGGCTTGCATAGCGGGCAGACCTGCGTTCCCTTATCCCTCACCAAGCTGGACGCTCCCAAGTTTTCTTCTCCCGTCCTTCCTTTCCAAGACAGCTTTGCGATCCGCTTAGAGTAATACCTTGCTTTATTCCACGAGTGATTATTCACCTATTATTATTACTATTATGCACAGCTGGAGGGGCAGGGTTGCCCCTCTGCCAGGCTGCCGACTCTACCTGCCCACTTGCAAGCAGATGACAGTTATTAAGGCCAAATTGCAGTAAAATGTCCTTCCTCCAACTTTCAAGACTGAAACGTCATCCTAAGAAGGCGGAAGGCCCGGCGGCGTCAAACAATAGCTAAGCTTCCATCCGACGTCCATTATTCAAGGGCTGCAAATTGTATCAAGAGAAGACTGTTCCTACCTTGGGATGACAGCCTTTGCTCACGGTTCAAGATCTTCTGTTATTGTCTTCCAACAGTAGCCTTCGACTCATTCTTGTCCCGCCTCCTAAGGAGAATTCTGGGTAATGTAGTCCACTTACTAGCACTTCCTGTTGCTGACATCCTGCCTATCGTAGAAACACCGCCCCTACTTTTTTAAAAAATAAATCAAAATACTTTTTTCTCAGCGTGTGGATGTCATATTCCTGGATAATGAACTTTAGATGCTTATATATATTAGGAAATGTAATGATGGATGCTTCTTAACTTTGGGCACGCAGTGCATTTCATTGCAATGCTCCTCTTTGGTGGAATTTTCTAATTTAATTTAATTTAGTTTGTCAAACATGTACGAGATAAACATGGACATGAAGACAGGAAATGGGAACAATAGGACAGGGACGGTAGACACGCTGGTGCGCTTATGCATGCTCCCTTACAGATCTCTTGACAGCTTAAGGTTAAAGTTATGAGGGTTTGAGGATGTAACAACAGAGTTGGGTAGTGCATTCCAGGCATTGTTGTTCCTTGGAACATAAAATGAAAGTAGCAACTGCTTTGTGTTTCCTTTCTTATTTTAAGTTTCTTTACGAATCTAAGCCACTCACAAATGCAAGTTACTATTCACTAAGCCAGTGGTTCCCAAACTTGGCAACTTTAAGACTTGTGGACTTCAACTCCCAGACTTCTCCAGCCAGCTCTGGAATTCTGGGAGTTGAAGTCCACAAGTCTTAAAGTTGCCAAGTTTGGGAACCACTGCACTAAGCAACATTTAAATGTACTTAATAAACTCTGGACAACTGAAATTTAAAATCCTTAGCCAACCTGTATTGTTTTTCTCATTCTTCCTTAAAATCACTTATTCCTCATTTTTCCTTTAAAATCATCTATTTCCTTAAAATCGCAGCAGATGCAGCAACATGGAAATTCCATTATTTTCTAGCAATAAAAATAAAAGCAGCAGCACTGGCCAATTGTGAAAGATCATGAAAAAACAAACAGTGACACAATTTGAGTGGGAGATGCCAAGCAAATTTCAAGGGATGTTGAAAGAACATTCTGGGAGATTATTATCCAGAAACATCCTCCATGTGTCCATAGAGTAAACAACCTGAACTCACTTTGAAAGTTTCTTTAATCTTCCAATCATAATGTGCCACCTTTTCATAGCTGCTGCCCAGGGAAACTATGTCAGCCTGACCTCTAAAACATGATTCAGCTTGAGTGGGAGATGGCACTGTAGATGTATTTTGGTCTACAAGAAAATTCCAGTCTTTAAAAGCAATACATTCAAGGGTATGAGTTAATGTAGAAATTCACATATAATAGACAGCCAGTTTGATGTAGTGGTTAAGATACTGGCCTAGAAACCAAGAGACTGTGAGTTCTAGTCTTGCCTTAGGCATGATAGTTGGCTGGGTGATTTTGTTAGATGTTCAAGTCTATCAAGATCCTTCTGTATCTTAAGCTTGTCTTCTGGAGTGCTGGCTATTCCTGCCAGCTTGGTGTTGTCTGCAAATTTGATGAGTTTCCCATCTACTACACGTTGAATGCGGTTGGTCAGCCAGTTATGAATCCATCTGATGGCGATGTTGTCTAATCCACACTTTTCTATCTTATCAAGTAGTAGATTATGGTTTACTTTATCAAATGGCTTACTGAAGTCCAAGTAAATTATATCCCAAGCATTCATTTGGTCCATTAATTTCATCACTTTGTCAAAGAATGCAATAAGATTTGTCTGGCTCTGGCATGATCTGTTTTTGACAAACCCATGTTGGCTTTTGGTTATTACTTTGCTTCTAGGTGTTCACTGATTTGCTATTTGATTATCTTTTCCTGAATCTTCCCTGGTATTGAGGTCAGGCTGATAGGTCTATAGTTTCCTGGGTCTATTTTTCTTTTCTTTTTTGAAGATGGGAACTACATCAGCTCTTTTCCAGACCTCTGGCAGTTCCCCCGTGCTCCAGGATCTCTGAAAGATATAGTTCAGTGGTTCTGAGATCACGTCTGCCAGTTCCTTCAGAATCTGGGGTGTAATCCATCTGGTTCTGGTGATTTGAACTCGTCTAGGGTAGACAGGTGCTTACTTACCATTTGCTTCCCCATTTTAACTTGTATTCCTTTTTTTTTTTTTTTTTTTGGTGGTGCTGTTTTTAATAGGTTGGACTTTTTTACCTTTGTGTAAAGATGGATGCAAAAAACAAGTTAAGTAGGTCTGCTTTCTCCCTGCTGCTTGTCACCTTCTTGCCACTTTCTCCCACCAAGGACCATTATCATATTCATATTCTGCAAATATACGATAAGTAATTCTTTGAATTGTAGAAGCGATGTACATTTCTTAAAAAAAATGATATACATGAACTGTAGAGAATCTGTAAATGGTTCTTGGTGCATATATTACAAAGAGACACCTTGTATATCATGCTGAGCCATAGCTTGTTAACACAAACATAGATAGCACTGTACATGTCGTACTTCTGCACTGGGAAAGCAGATTTGATATAATCTATCTGTACCACAAAGAATAAATATAGGAACATTGTGCTTAAGAAAAATGATTCATTTTCGGAAAAAGGAAGAATACTGTGAATTTGGAATAACATGGCTCCTGGCCTCTTTTGCAATGTGGAATCCCTCCCTGTTCACCAATATTCAATGGTATATCTCCAGATTTTGATACTGTGATTTTGGTTTTCACACTTGTGAAAGACAAATCAAAATTTTGCCCTAAAGCAACTATGGCTTCCCAAAATATGAAGAAGAAATAAAACCAGTTTAAGTTGCTCCGGTAATGTTAATATGTCATCATTGGACCCTTGTGGCCAACAAATCTTTTGTTTGTCTGTTAAACTCTCTGGCTCTGGAATTTGTCATCTGTGGCAACTGAATCTTTATTAGTTTACATGTGGTATAATGTCATCTTGTGGCTAGGAGCTGCAATTGCAAGAAGAGAGTGATGTTGCCTCTATAAAAGTTGATATATCTCTTGATATTTTACTTGGCAGACTGATTAAAGGTCATCAATTAAATATCAATTCTTAGCACCCACATAGCTAGATGGTCTTCCATAGAACCTGTCCCTAACCTGGTCTTTCAACAGTTACTCTCATTGCTATCCTTAACTCCATCTATCTTGTTTTCATCCTCTTTTCTTTTGTTCATCTTTCCCAGCATTAGAGCCTTTTCCAGGTCTTCACATAAAATGTCTGTAGTAGAATAACCAGGAGATAGTGAACATTTGTGGAATATGATACAGGAAATCCAGTTTTCTGACTTTGGACTAATAACCAAGAGACAGTAAATATTTATGGAACATGATACAGGACAGCCAGATTTCTAAGTGTGGGCCAATAACCAGGAGAGGGTGAGCATTTTTGAAATATTACACAGGACATTCAGGTTCATGACTTTTGGAGAATAACCAGGGGACGGTTAATATTTTTGTAAATTGATAAAGGACAGTCAGGTTTGTGACTTTGGGCCGAAAAACAGGAGAATGTGAGTTTTTGTGGAACCTTATACCAAAAATATCAGCTTCATAATGGTGGTAAAACCTGGTGCTCCTTGTGGGTGGAGGAGGGAGGATTTGTCAAACAATACCTCTGCCCAATTTTCATGTTTCCTTAGGAAATGAGCAGAATTCTTTCCCCCTCCTTTTGTAACGCCCGCAGTTTATCTGAGAATCTCTGGATTGTCTTGCAAGGTGCAAAGGATTGTGAAGGTAGGAAAATGGATGGCGAGCACCAATCGTGCAATACTCACAGTGGACAGCTGTGTAACTTTGGACCAACAACCCAGAGACAGTGACTTCCATTCCTGCAATACATATGGTGAGTTCTTGTCATGCAATATGCAGTATTGCAATAACTGACTGAGTGGGCCAATGAGAAGGAGAGGGTGAATTATTTAATTCTCACAACAGCCATCTGAGTGACTTTGGACCAATAATCAAGAAATGGTGGCTTTTCCTCCTGCAATAGGCATAGTGAGTTCTATTACTGGGAATACTCACAAGAGGTGGCTGTGTCACTTTGGACCTATCCAGAGGTGGGTTGCTCCCAGTACAGCCTGGATCGGGCGAACCGGTAGTAGCGGCGGTGAGAGACTCCACCCACCCGCCCGCAGAAGCATCACACACGGAGGAGCCATCTGTCTTTATGATAGGAAATTGGGAGGGGGGAATTGACAGTTGAGGAAGAACAGAGTAGTTTGAAAAACAGTCCATGCCAACACCTTCAAGGCTGCATAACCTGAGAATGGAATTTCACCAGCTTGAACACTTCAGCGCTTCCCAAATCTCAGTGGTGCTGGATTGGCTGCCCTTGAATGAACAATGGGGGGAGGGTTGAGGGAACCAAGCAGTTAGTGATGAATTGATGTGCTGGAACTTCTGATTCCACCTGCCTGTCCTGCAATCAGCATCTCTTAGTAAAAGTATCTTTTCGCTTCAACCAAATGGAGTTGAGGGTTTTACTTGCCTGGGAGATCAGACTTGGGAAGGTCTAACAGTCTCCCATTGCGTGATCTGAAGTCAACGACTAAAGTGGTATCCAGCCATTTCACTGGAAGATTTCTGAATGAGCCACAACCACTTGATGCTCAGCTGTGTCAACCAACAACCCATTAATCCAAACCGAACTAATCTGGGCATGCTGGCTGGGAATTCTGGGAGTTGAAGTCCCCGCATCTCAAAGTCACCAAGTTGGAGAAACATCAATTTAGAGGCTCCCTCCTCCAGATGGCTACGGGCAGCTGACTTTCCCCAACAGACTCATCAAAATATTTTTTTTAAAAAAAGAAGTGGATCATGAGCATTTACAAAACCTTCTGAACATACGGCAAATCCATGAGGGCATCTCATTCCTGATGCCTGGCACCACACCCAGCTTCACAATGACATGACTGTGAAACAGAAGGCGGCTTCCTGGACTTGTTTTGATTTGATTCATAATTTATTCTTAATAAATGTCA